CCTTTGGTTTTATAGGGGCGACGGGTGCGAGGAAACCAACCGCCCACCTAGATCTCCGCGCCTGTCATGACCTGTCACCATGTCTCGTCACAGGGCATGCGCACGCAACCTATGGCCGTCCCCTCGAAAACGTGTCAAACATTTCGCCTCCCTAAATGGACCATGACCCGTCATAGGTAAAAGGGATACGGAGCTGAAAACACTCCTACAACCCGTTTAGGCTCAGGAGTTCAAGGTTGGCCCACCGACGGGTTCGATAACCGCTCCGGGCACCTTTAGAGTGAGGGGTGGAAAGGGATGGGCCCGCTAGCGGCCAGTACCCGGGCGCATGAGCGCCGCGGGCATCCCGGCCCACGTTCGAGTCTCGGCGGATATGATCCATAGTTTTTCCTCGAAGAAAGGCAGAGAGCCCTCGGGATCGGTCGAACGGACCCGAGAACTATATGGATTGATCGTTGAGAATCTAGAGTCGATCACCAGCTGACCGAAGCTAGGCCCCCATGAACGGGATGCCGGGGCCCCACTTGGACATGCCCATTAGCGAGCTCATCGAGCGCGACACTCGAGCCATCGAGGCAAGTGACGTTAGCTCAATCCCTCCGGTTGTAGAAACCGCGGACGGGGTGACGATCACAAAGATGAGCCGACCCTCGACCGGACCCTCGCTACGGGCGAGGGCTCGAGGAAAGTTGGACTCGCAAGGAGACCGAACGCGCGGTCGTAGAACGACAGACCCCATAGGGGTCGGAATCAGGAAAGACCTTTTCCGACCCACCAAATCTCACGGCTATGCCCTTGAGGGGTCCGATCACGACGAAAGGGAACCGCCGGGACACGCCGCTAGCTAAAAAAGAAGGGCAAGGCCCTCCGAGTCCTCCTGTCCGAAAAAGCCTCCAAAGGAGTATTCTACTCCTCCGTAGGCTCGGGGACTACTATCGGGTATCAATATTAGGGATACCCAAAGCAAGGAGTTAGCACCCACGCTGACTTCTTAGGACAGAGCAAGGCGTATTAACATGGCTCGCCCGACCCTAAGGACGCAGTTTCCGTCTCGCCCAACCTCGAGGCTGCGGGGGTCTCGCCCAAGGCTGCATGCTTCATCTCGCCCAACCCTTGGGTGCGTGCTCCATCTTGTCCGACCCCCAAGGGTCGCGAGCTCCGTCTCGCCCAACCCCGAGGCCGCGGGGGTCTCGCCCAAGGCCGCGGGCTCCATCTCGCCCGACCCCGAGGCCACGGGGGTCTCGTCTAAGGCCACGGGCTTCGTCTCGCCTCGACCCGAGGCCGCGGGCTCCGTCCCACCCAACCCATGGGTGCGTGCTCCGTCTCATCCGACCTCAAGGGTCGCGGGCTCATATCGCCACCAACCACTTCAGGTCCAGGCGTATGGGCTCAGTCAAAACTCTAACACCAGAGAAGAGATGGGCATGACTCGATGTAACCTTAGGCCATGACGGAACATACCTGAGGATTCACATCAAGAACATCGTCGGACGTACCGGTGCTGTTTTGCCTAACCCTCATACGAACGCTGACAGGTGAGTCAGTTCATCACGACGTTCGCCATGATGGGATGGAACGCCATGACCGGCAGATGACGCCTGCGCATGGCGCCAGTGACGGACAGGGCCGAGACGTGGAGCTGTCCCTATTGACATCTACAGGATCGGCGGGACCCGTATGAAGGAGAAGAAGGATCCGACGATCCTGGAAGCCTCCTCTCTCTCATTCTTCTCCTTTTCCTCCGCTATAACCCGCGCTTTTCTTTGGCCTATAAAAGGAAAGCAGGGCGCCCCATGAAGGAGATAGGGCCAGATCCGCACAAGAGTACGACACGAGCACACGGCTGAGCGGCGATCGAGCTCTCAGCACCCGTTCACTTCTTCCACCAAAGACTTGGGATCTTTTTCATGCCTCGCCTGTTTGTAATCTCTACTACAAATTTTCAATGCTAGTAACACGAGCAGCAACGACGAACTAGACATAGGGACTTTCTGCCTGAACCAGTATAAACCTCGTGTCCTTTAAGCACACCATCCGAGTTAGACGCGCAAATACAAATTTACTCGTGGGTGGTCCGAAAACACGGACACATAGGTATTATTTTAATCACTTCATTCAGTTTTGGTGGTTGGGGATACTAATGTGCATGGGTGGATCTTGCTCCTGATTTGTCGGTACTACCACCTGGGATGGATGATTGTCAGTTTGTGTACAGAGGGTTTGACCGTGTGGAGTTAAAAAGACGTTTACTATAGCTGCTTGTGCACGTTTCATAAATAGCCACTAAAATTTAATTAAATGTGTTAGTATCAATTAATTCCAGTTCCACCTAATGTGAAAGACCACAGACATTTACTGAAAGTACATGATTACACATTGTACTTTTCCACATGTTCATTTGTTTTGGCTAACTATGGTTGATTACTGTCTTATGTTTCTGAGATACTTGCTTCAATACTGATCAAGATGCCAAACTTGTAGAACCTTCTCCTATCAACCAACGGTGATGCCATCGTATTGAAAATTGGTGACTTTGGGTTTGCCAGGTGAGAGCAGTATGTCCCTCATTATTGTATTAATATTTATTCAAGCACAGTTTTTTTTGGCCTCCTCCACTAAATGGCATGATTTCATCAGGTTATTTATGGTTGTTATCCTTTTCAATTCAATCCACAGTGATATATGTTCATACTGACTTTTATCGTCAAAATGTCTGCTTTTCTGAGTACTGTATTATCCTGAACGTGCTGTAACTGAGCAATGTGTTGTGAAATTAATTTTTGGAGTGATTTCAGGTCACTGGTGCATGAAAATTTTAGCTGCCACAATGTGTGGGTCGCCATATTATATGGCACCAGAAATTTGGCAAGGGAAGGACTATGATGCAAAGGTTGGCTCATTTCCTTCATTAAATTCGTAGGTTTTAAATAAGTGTGTAATTAACTCTACTTGAAAAAGCTTTGCAGTCAGACTTGTGGAGTGTTGGCGTCATTCTTTTTCAGCTAGTCACAGGGAAGCTGCCATTCACCGGGAGTAATGCTTTTCAGGTTTGTTGCTCTTGTATAACATATTCAAATGCATATGACCTAGATGGCTACATGTGCCTGCTAAAACTAGTCGTTGCCCATTCTTTTCTGAATACATCTGCACCAAAATATCCTGGCTACCGATGATCTTAACTTCCCTTCAGAAATTGAAGCTGATTTATGTCCTGATTGCATTGATTTGTGCAGAAGACTCTTGTGCCGTGATCCAAGTGGGTCTCTTGTCCACTTTATTTTTTGCTTGTGCAAAACAGGCGTGTGTTAACGATTTATTTTCTGCAGCAGTTGTAGTTGGTCATTTCTTGTTTGTTGTGATCGGCCTCGATTCTAAGTCATTGGTGTGATCAGTTCAATTAATTTTTACCAATTGGAAAATCGGGCTGAATACACATTTGGTTTTGCAGAGAAGAGAATAAGTTTTGAAGAATTCTTCAATCACAAGTTTTTGGCAACAAGGTCGACTCTTTACTCTGGTTCTAGTGTTGATCCATATGACATTGTTGCACCGTCTACATTGCTTTTACTAAAAGAAAAATGCTGCAGTTTTAGCTTAGCAATGCCTGCTGCCCATATATGCAGCTATCCTTACGGGTTTTTTTTTTCACGAAGACGGAGGAGATCTGCATATCTTTATATTGTGAAGATGAAAATAGGGGGTAGACTGCAAAAACCATAACCAAAACTAGTCACCCAAAGACAGCAAGACACAAAACACACTCCAGACTCACTCACACACAATCTTTAGAATAAACGGAGGAGCAGACACTTCAAAAGCTAGGGAGGGGAGACTGCCAGATCATCACACAAATAAGGTCTAGTCACTACCAAGCAGCAGGGCTGTCAGCTAAGTGATGCCCTAAACTGCAGCTATAGACTTAAAGCCTCATATCTTCAATGGCTGAGGCCATGACATTTAACACATCAGTTGAAGCTCCATCAAAGACACACCGGTTACAGTGATCTGTAGGGACCAGGCACCAAGAATAACAATGGAGCTAAGACCCTGCCGAACTCGAACATCAACAGCCTCACACGAACAAGACCGCCAACTACCGAAGGTTACACCAAAGCAGAAACATTTACCCCCCCCCCCCCCCCCACACACACACAAAAAAAACTGTTCCCTGCTATCGATGTAATGTGTGCTTACATAAATTTGAATGATAAATTCAAGTGGTGTATAGAGGAGTAAAGAAGACAAACAGTGCTCATGAAACAAATCATAAGGCACATATATGCACTCATATTTTTGTTCCACTCTTGTGCCCACAGATGAATTTTACCTAAGAATTATGCTGGTGTGAGGCTGCATCATGTTTACTTAATTCTTATATATTTTCAATGATTTTTAGAATGTTGCATTTTACGCTTCAATAAATGAGCATTGAAGCTCATATGTGCAACAGTCCTGGTTTTTTTCTAGATAGATTTTTTTTTATGTTTTGGAAGAGATTTTGCAACCAGCTGCCTTTCCTTGATTTTTTTTCCATTTATGTTTGCAGTAGTTTTAGTTTTTATCATGCCAATATTTCCACCTGCTTTGGAGGAAGTAATGCTTTTAGTGCATTATTATGTACTTCTATAAATGGGAGTTACTCATATGTGCCACAAATCTTGCAGCCTTTTCAGATTTTTTTTATGTATGTTTAGAATAGTTTGGTTTTATCATGCTATACTTTCTTCTGTGTTGAAGCTGACTAATTATAACATTTCAGGAAATACGACGAATCCTGTCATGCTGTAGAATTAAGGGATAACTGCCAGACAATCACCTCTCCTGCTGCCCTAAAAACAAAGTCTGAAAGTATTGAATCTAAAAATTCGAAAGGTACATTACACTCTTTGAATCATAAAGTGTAGGCATTAACTTTCTACATATGTTTTTCAGTTTTTTATTCATGGGAGTGAATTGAACGAGAATATGTGCTTGTTCCGGTAAACTGTACTTCTATGGAAATGCCTTCACTCAACATCAACAAGTCCACAAAGGATGATACAGATACAAGAACTGCCAGCTATGATAGATCCACTGGCAAAGGGTCTGTTCAGAATCAAATCAGAGACTTTACTGCCACAGCTACTGGTGTACATAACTATGGATGTGCTCCTGTGCTCATTTCCCAGGAGTCAGCCACTGTGGATTGTAGACGAGGGAAGCCACCTGATTATATTACAAGGCTTCATTCTCTGAATCAATATGTTCTTGTTCTTACGGAACTTGCTCGGGAAAAGGTACTACTACTGCTATGCTGGCAACTATCACTGTGGCCCTAAACTTGATGTTCATTATCATTCTGTCTTAGTGTGCTTTTACAGTTCAGTATGAGTATCTGATCAGGCTTAGACTTCACAATGTGCTTTTTATGTAATGTCAAAGTTGCAGCCTTCAAAATATATTATCTTAATATTCTGTGGCAAAAAATATCTTTCTGAACAAGTCAATGGTATTTTCAGTAGAACTCTTCTCCTTTGATATATATATATCAGACAGATATTTGATTTTTCAATGTTAGTCATTTCCAAATTTCAACACTACTATACCCCACAAAACCTCTTTTGAATAATTGTAGAAATGATATTTGTCATTTGATGGATCAGATATGATAACCCCTCTTTTCTGTGTCACTCAGCTTTCTAAAGGCCTGTACCTGGAGGCATTGTCAATTGAACTTGTATTATTAGCTATCTGGAAAGAGGCACTTGATGCATGTAGCGTACTCATGGATGCATCAGATGGTGAAAATTTCTCTAAATCTTCTCAAGAACATTCCCTTCCTAAGAGTGGCCACTCAGCTCTGAATGTAGTGCGAGGGTTGGATTTCACTAGGCCGGCTTCTGTTTTTTCCTGGGTTGAAAGTGGGTTCATGAAGGCATATGATCGCGCAGAGAAGATATCGCACGTATTGAGGAAGAGTGATGGTTAGGAACGCTGATCTTCTTAACACTTTTTTGTATCGATTCTTGATTCTAACCAACATTTTTTTTTTCAGATAACACCGAGATGCCAGATGCAATGGATGTCGTATTCCAAACTGCTTTGGAATATGGAAAAGAGTGGAGCTGTAAGTTCACTATATGGTTTCTTTGATGGTTTCTGTGGAAACATTTAGCTCTTTATGCACACTATGGATATGGATTCTGCCTTTGTTTTCCCATATAATTAAAGAAAAAAAGGAAAGGGAGTTTTTGTTTTAATATTACCATGAATAGTGCACTAACAACAAGCAAACACATCCGTTACATCAGTGGCGGAGCTAGGATTTAAAACTTGGGTATTCCCACTTCCACGTCATAAAAAAAATCGAATCCATAGACTTAAAATATAGCCAATAGCACTGCAAATCAGCAACTTTAAACCAATATTTGTTTTCTAGAATCTAGTCTTCTAATTGAAAGGCCAGTTTTTTTACCTGTTTCGAGCTGAAATGTGCGAAAATACTATTGATTATAGCATTATACATATATATATATATAGTATATACATCCGTTGTACAAAATAGTTGGTTATTCCCAAACTTGATCCATCCATAGTGTGCATAAACTGTGTGATTCCCTACTACCTGTAAACAATTTGCTTTCAATTTCAATTTTCATCATCTTCAGTAGAATCTGTTAGATATAGATGGAATAGCAGATACCCCTAGTCGGAAAATATTGCACTTCTATTATTCAAATTATGCGAACATTGCTGTGGGTTTACAGGCTGAATGTATTTATCCAGTAATTGGTTACAGCTGATACTTCCTATTGACTTTTTATTTACTTGTCTTTTCAGGCAAATGAAGTTTTGGGACACCAAAGCAGATCCACAACGCTATACTCAAAGTCTATCATCTTGCTCACATTTTTAGTGCAGGAAGCACCTATGTTGCCACTAAATCCACCGCTGTCCCTTTCGCCGTCGGATCAGCAACGCATCCATAGGTACATATCTAATTTGAAGAGCCATCTCTGCAGTGCTCAGGTTGCAGGGCAACAAGATCAGTTCATAACTGAACATGCTTGCTCAAGGATTGAAAGATTAATTTATCTGCATCTGGTGAGGCTTCTTGTGCTCTGGTGCAGCGTTAGTCCACCATGTTGTTTTTGTCTAGGAGGTGGTATTCAATGCTTTGGTGTCATGAACCTTTGTAAAATTGCAGTTGCCGAACACCATGATACTCCCCACTCTTTTGTGTATAGATAACACCTACAAGCTCTATATGGTCGTCCCTTACCATATGTTGAAATGACTCTGAACTTGTATATATTTGTAAGTGCCTTGTGCAAACATGTAAATAGAAACTGGTTCGAACCTTCTCGTGACTGCATACTCTCCGATCCTTTCTAGTACCAAGTTTTGAATCTCTAAAGCAATATCTCTTCTGAGGTAGTATGATGTATGGGAAGTTCGGAAGTTCCCATTTTACATTACTGCACAGGGGTCATCTGAAAGCACTGCCGATTACACCTTCATTCAGGATTCTTTGCGTATAAAGATTAGTTGGGCCCATACCACCAGAAATTGGAAGCTGCCAGATAATTTACAACTGAGTACTCTTTGCAAAGTTTTCTTTTTGTTGTGTTAAAGACGTAAGTATTAACATAAAGTTTAACGTTTATGTAGTAAAGCATTGTTTCTAATATTTTTCTTTTTTGTCTATATGGACATCTTAGGCGCATATATGGTAAACTGTGTGACAGAAACTAGTTGATTGGTTTGTGCAACTGGTTAAGTTATTTTAGAGGGTGTTTGGTTTCTTCCTCCTAAACTTTAGTCACTATCCCATCGGATGTTTGGACACATGCATGGAGTATTAAATATAGATTAATTACGAAACTAATTACACAGCTTGCGACTAATTTATCTTTTAAACCTAATTAGTCCATAATTTGACAAAGTAGTGCTACAATAAACATGTGCTAATGATGGATTAATTATGCTTAATAAATTCGTCTCGTGGAGTACTGACGAATTCTGTAATTTATTTTTTTATTAGTATCCAAACATCCCATACGACACCCTCACATACACCCTCACATGACACCTCCTAAATTTTAGTCACCGGATCCAAACACCCCCTTAGTCCGGATCACTATTCACTGTGTGTTTGCATCGTGGCAACCAGCTAATGTCAACATATAAGATTAGAAAGATGAGCAGAACTCAGTTTGGCCTCATCAAATCAACCAAATGGAAAGGAATCTATATTAATGTTAGATCAAGGTGAGATAATCCCAAAAGCAAGTGAAATCAACTCGTTGGACAATAAAAATCCATCTGGGTCGCTGAGACGGATGAATGCAACTCTTCTTCCAAAATCATCTTCATTTTGCAGGTCCAACTCAAAATCAACATGTGGCAAGGCTCGTCGATCCATATCCATGGCAATTACAAGCCCACTCTCCACAAAAGGCTTAAATGTGTTACACAGTGATAGTGTCAGGCTTTTCCCAAAGGATTTACTGAAACTTTGCAAATCAAGCCCCCAAGCTGTTCGCAGTGATAGCATAACCACATCCAGTGCCATGTCCTTCATATCAGAGCTTCTAGACTCATGACTCCACGTTCCATCCTCTAACTTCTGAACCCATTCTGCATACTCCTTTGTTCTTCTGGGCCTGGAGTACCTGACACCGTTAATGTAGCTTGCAGAGCCAAGACCAAAGGCATAGAAGGGCCGGTTTTGCCAGTATGTTAGGTTGTGCTTGCACTCGTATCCAGGCTTGCAGTAGCTACTGATCTCATAGTGGTTATATCCTGCTTCAGAAAGCCGCTTCGAAGCAATCTTGTAGAAGTTTGCAGACTCAATGTCACTCGGAAGAGGAAAGACACCAGGAGCATACCTGCAAAAAGTTACATATATATGAATATAATATAAGAATCAGTTTCAATTCGTCTCTTCAACTGAAGCACAATGGTCTTAACAAGGCCCAAACGTACACACACAACTAATTAAAGCCCCTTTGCACGGCTCCAAACGTGACACAAGCAACAATTCATTAACCCCGGATTACAAAACGCTGGTTTGCATCGATTTGCTACAAATAGATGTCCATATACTACATTATGAAATCACTACAATAGTGTCCAAATACTACATTATGAAATCACTGAACCTATCATGAAACATGCACTTAGGAAGGATTTTCTTATGCACCATCCATAATGGGCAACAGAACTAACACGCCCTAAGCACATGGTGATAGTAAATTACTGTGCACAAACTGTAAATTTATGGGTGTATGGTGGCAGATGCCCTAAGTACATGGTTAGGCCCAAACTGAATTAAAAGGTAAACTTTTAGTCCACAAACTAAAATAACGTCTTGTAGTAAGCATTGTAAAATTAGCAAAGAAAAGAGCATTACTGACTTTGAGTCAGTTGCTCGCAGGTGGATCATCTGTAATAAAAAAAATGGCATCTATGGTGCTTATGGGAAACATATAATCTATTTGTTTTCAGGGGTGATCATGGTCAGGGATGAGTGAAGTCATTGGAGATAATTGTGAGGAATTGAGGATGCTATGGTGTTGCCAAGTTTCATTTAAGTCCAAGAAGCTAGTGAAGATGGAGAAGATCAATGGGACATTGGAGAAGATGGCAGAATAACCGCCCAAAGTTGGGTGGAACAATGCAACGATGTGTCAACTATATCAGATTTGGAAGTCTGGATGGGGCATGGAGATCAGAGCCAGCAGGTCTCTTCAGCTGCCAGTTCTCATATGCAGAGTGGCTGGAGTATGAATGCAAAGCGTGAGGCGTTGAGTGTGTCGGTGCAACGGGAAAGTAGGAGGATACCTAGCAGTTCAAGTAGTGCTGCTCGTTTAGCTGAGATTGATTGCTGTGATGATGTTGCTTACGGCAGAGCACAAACCAGAAATACGCATGAACCAGATGAGACTGTCTACCATTTGTTTCTGTATAAGTAACTTGATGATACCTTTTCAATAAAAAGTTGTAGAATTCACAACACAGGAAGAAGAAAAATCACTCACATTTGCCCAAACTTGGTGCCCTGCTCAATTTGCAGATCATACACGGAGACGTGAGTGGGCCTTGCATCCACCGTGCACCTCAAGCTTTCCTCCCACATCTCCTCGGTCTGATTCGGCAGCGAGGAGATGAGGTCCATGCTCCAGTTCTGCAGCCCCTCGCACGCAGTGACGATCCCGACGGCCTCGTACACCTCCTTCAGGCCGTGTGCGCGTCCACACGCCCGCAGCAGGTCCTCCTGGAACGCCTGGACACCGAGCGAGACGCGGTTGACGCCCACGCCCACGAGCTCCCTGAGCCTGGCGGCGTCGAACGTGCCGGGGTCCATCTCGATGGACACCTCGGGGCACGCCGACAGGCCGAACCTGTCCCGCAGCGCGTCGAGGACCGTGGCGACCAGGCGCGGCGGGACGAGCGACGGCGTGCCGCCCCCGAAGAAGACGGTCTCGAGCGGCACGCCGTCGTCGGAGACCGGGCGCGTGGCGGAGACCTCGCGGAGCAGGAGGCGCACGTAGTCGACGATCCTGGGGTCTTCCGCGGCCTCGCCACCGCCATGGGACGAGGCTGAGGATGAGCCGAGGGCGACGATGGGGAAGTCGCAGTAATGGCAGCGCTTGCGGCAGAAGGGGAGGTGGACGTAGGCGGAGGCCGGGGGTAGCGGCGGTAGCAGGGGAGAGGGAGGGGGAGAGAAGGAGGCGGTGGTGGCGGAGGAGGAGGAGGCATATCGTCGAGCAGGTGGAGGGCGTGGGCGGACTGAGGCCGGTTTCCTGCGCGGGAGGTGGGAGACGAGCGGGAAGGCCAGCCGGAGCATTACGGAAGCTGTGGCGTACGTGCCTGCCGGATAGGACGGAATCGGTGATTTGGCTGCGGTAAGCCGCGTGGGTTTGCTTCGATGCCTTAAGCTGGGCTACGGTGGGCTGTAGCTGGGCTTAGGCTACGACTTAGCCTATTTGACAGCGAGCGTTTCTATTCGAGTTGGACGTATTCTTATAAATTTTCAATGATTTTTGGAATGTTGCATTTTGCACTTCAATAAATGAGCATTGCAGCTCATATATGTATAAATTTCAATGATTTTTGGAATGTTGCATTTTGCACCAATAAATGAGCATTGCAGCTCATATATGCAACAATCCTGCTGTTTTTTTTCTAGATTTTTTTTTATGTTTTGGAAGAGATTTTGCAACCAGTTTCCTGTCCTTGATTTTTTTTCCATTAATGCTTGCAGTAGTTTTAGTTTTTCTCAAGCCAATAATTCCACATGCTTTGGAGGAAGTAAATGGTTTTAGTGCATTATGTACCTCTATAAATGGGAGTTACTCACATGTGCCACAATCTTGCAGCCTTTTCTAGATTTTTTTCTGTATGTTTAGAATAGTTTGGTTTTATCATGTTGTACTTTCTTCTGTGTTGAAGCTGACTAATAATTATAAAATTTTAGAAAATGCAATGAGTCCTGTCATATTGTAGAATTAAGGAATAACTGCCAAACAATCACCTATCTTGTTGTCCTAAAAACAAAGTCTGAAAGTGTTGAATCAAAAAATTCGAAAGGTAACATTACCTAATCATAAAGTGTATGTTCTCGTTAGCCATTTACTTTCTACATATGTTTTTTTTTTCTTTTTTTATTCATCAGAGTGGATTGAACGAGAATATGAGCTTGTTCGGGTAAACTGTGGCCCTAAACTTGATGTTCATCATCATTCTGTCTTAGTGTGTTTTTACAGTTCAGTATAAGTATCTAGTCAGGCTTAGACTTCACAATGTGTTTTTTATGTAATGTCAAAGTTGCAACCTTAAAAATAGATTATCTTAATATTCTTTGGCAAAAAAAAATCTTTCTTTGTGTGCTACTCTCAGAGCAAGCCATGGTATTTTCTGTAGAACTCTTCTCCTTTAATATATATCAGACAAATATTTGATGTTTCAATGTTAATCATAAAGTCTGAAAGCTCTTTTGAACAATTGTAGAAATGGTATTTGTCATTTGATAGACCAGATATGATAATCCCTCTTCTTATATGTCCATGCTTTTCTGTGTTATTCAACTTTCTAAAGGCCTGTACCTAGAGTCGTTATCAATTGAACTTTTATCTTTAGCTATCTGGAAAGAGGCCCTTGATGCATGTGGCTTACTCATGGATGCATCAGATGGTGAAAATTTCTCTAAATCGTGCGAAGAACATTCCCTTCCTAAGAGTGGCCACTCACATCTGAATGTAGCTGTGTAGCGCGAGGGTTGGATTTCACTAGGCCGGCTTCTTCTTTTTTCCTAGGTTGAAAATGGTTCATGAAGGCATGCATATGATTGTGCAGAGAAGATATCACATGTATTGCATAAGAGTGATGGTTAGGAACACTGATCTGCTTAACACTTTTTTGTATTGATTTTGATTCTAATCAACTATAGGAATTGTGCTAGTCAAAATAGCTCAACATTAACCAAATTTATAATAAAAAATGGCGTTGTTAGCATTTATGTCCACAAATAAATTTAATAAAAATATATTCTTTCACTAATCTAATGGTACTCATTTTGTATATATCATGAATATTAGTATTTTTTTATATATAACTTTTATAATTGCATTTTTTTCGTGAGTGAAGGGAAAACGTATCGAGTTTTGAAGCTCTGAATCAACATCTGCTCTGAGCTACTATGATCGTAATAAGTATATTTACTGCACAGGAGTCATCTGGGACTGAGGGCATCTGAAAGCGCGGCCGTGTCTTGACGTGAGAGAATCGAAGGCGGAATAAAGGAGAGGCACGGGAAGAGCAGGTTGGTATGGTACCACAAGGACGGCACAAAGCATCTCTGTTGCCCTGCGCTGCTGGGCGAAATGTTCCCTCTCGTGTTAATTGCGGTTTAGCTCTTGCATTTGTTGCATAGTTCCGCAGCGAACACGCGGCCGGCCTGTGTGTGACTGACTCGTACCGCGGGTGGTGGACTAGTGTACAGTAGCTGGTCCTTCATGTTCGTGTGAGTGGCAGGATGAGTTTTTCACTGGACCAGGCAGAGAGAGAGAGAGAGCTCTGTCAGCCCAATTAAAACGGGGGCGGTACCGCTCGGTACTTTGGAGCGGCGTGCATGCATGGCTGTTGGCTGGCTGGCTGGGGGCTTGCCTGCCCGTCACCAGATCCCGGCAGCAACCGAAACAAATCTCTCCAATTATTTCCCGGCCGGCGCATGCATGCAGACGCGTCCAATCCCCTCCGCGCCCCCGCTCTCCCTCTTCCATGGCGAGTGACGCAGCACAGCATCCATCATTCCAGTCTCTTGGCTCCCGTGGCTGCATCTGCTCTGCTCCGGGGTCCGTCTCTGGCCGAGGGTAACCGCATGGTAAATAAATATAATCGCCGGTAAGCCGGCTCAAGTTTAGAGGTGTCACGTCGGATGTTATCTAGACAAATTTATTATGTCTAATTAATCCGTCATTAACATAGGTTTACTGTAGCACATTGTTAGACTGCTTAGACTTACAAAATTCGTCTCGTAATATATATAATTACTTATTTTTTTAGTTTATATTTAATACCCAAACATACGATATGTTATCTGGACGTGCGCGTACAGTATTCTCGTATTACGTGTCTCTGCGTGCCTGCCCTGCCCGGCCCGGCCCCGTACGTCTCTCTGCGTGTACAACAGGTGCAGCGAGCACGCGTGCCATGCCACGGCTGACACCTTCCTCCCCCCACCCTGCTTCCTCCGCTTGGCTTCCCCGGCCTGCGACACCTCTCAGGCTCTTCTGACCTGCATGCATGTTGCTTCTGGGTTCTGGCCCTCTGCTGCTTCATTGGAAATGCTGCCTCTGCTGAGCCTCTGTACGCATGCACGAGCACGAGGTCTCCTCCTGCAGTAGGAGACTTGTACTTACGCTCACGTGTTCCTCAGCTCCTACTATACTCTCGTAGGAGTAGGTCGGTCGTGGCTCGTGCTACAAACCTCTGCAGCCATCGGCCTGTTCGCTTCGTCGTAAACGATCGTAAATTTTCAATCAAAACAGTATTTTTCTCTCACACCAAACTAACCAACAGTAATAATCCACGATCGTATCAGCCCCAGCCGAACAGGCTGCATGTTTGAATTCCAGCAAATTACAGAAGCTGGCTTCTAGAAGCTAGATAGGGATCCAATCGGTTCTAGCTTCTAATCGACTTCTACAATCCGGAGCTTCTGATCGACTTCTACAATCCGGAGCTTCTAGATTCCACAATCTACTCCCTCCCTTCTAGAAAAAAAAAGCAATTCTAGGACCGGCCACGGGAACCAACGATTGCAAGATAAATGACGAAAATACACCTAGTGGTCTGACTTGTCTTTAGTGGACATCGCCTAAAAAACCTACACGATGGAAGTTTCCCCGTTGAGTATACATGTTCAGCGTACGCGATTGACTAGCAACCGCACGCCACCGCCGAGCGAGGTCACCACGCCCACGATGTATGTCGTGCGGCCGAGGCAGTTCTGGCGCCCTGCGAGGTAAGCCAAACTGCAACCCTGTAAACGTGCATATTACATTCATTCAGAGCAATACAGAAAAACTGTTGGCTCCAATTCTTTCATTCCCGAGCAACCCAGAGATGCTGGTGCGGTAGATTTTTCTGTGGTGGGTGTGTCGTGGTGTGATAGTCTTCTTCTTCTTTTACGAGAGCCTGTGGCCAGTGGTGCATTGGTGCTAGATTTTTATTAACAACTTCTGGAAGCGTACCTGCCTTATAGCTGCGAGTGCATTCTTTGTGGGATATTTTTTGAATTCCACGGTTGTATTTTTTGTTGGACGGAGGGAGCAGCTTTTGGATCCAACTTGACCAATCGGCCCCTTGCTTTTTGGCCCATCTAATACGATTGAGGGCATTATGGTACAGACCAATGAGCCTCAGCTTTTACCATGCCTTGATCTAAACGGGCCTGTCAGCTGAGCTTGTATAATCCAGCTTTTAATAATCTAACTTTTAAAAGCTAGATTCTACGATCCCCATGTGTATCAAACACAGCCTAAAAACTCATGTGACTTTCATCACATGAAGATGCTTCAGGCAATCAGGCTATACCCATTTCCGAGCTCTCTCGTCTTTGAACTGCCCATTCATCAATCACCAACCACGACCAGCGACCATTGCATTGCTGTCCTCCGCCAGCTAGAGTGATGGGACGCAAGGTGGAAGAGTGTTGAGATATCATATCCCTATAAAAGTGCAGTGGGGTCTTGTTTAGATTGCAAATTTTTATAACTTGGATACTGTAACATGTTTCGTTTGTATTTGGCAAACTTTATCTGATCATGGACTAACTAGACTCAAAAAATCCATCTCGTGATTTACAACCAAACTATGTAATTAGTTTTTTTTACCTACATTTAATGCTCCATGCATACGTCCAAAAATTGATGTGATAGAGAGAGAGTGAAAAAACTTAGAATTTAGAGATGATCTAAATAAGGCCTGGATCGGAGAAACACACACATGACATGCCTCGGACAGTACGCACCCAGGGTCGTCCCAGACTCCCAATGGCCAAAAAAAAGCTGTATAGCCCTAGTTTAGTTTTTATCCTAAAACTTTATACACTGTCACATCGAATGTTTAGACATATACGTGAAATATTAAATATAACAATAAAGTGCTACAGTACATATACACTAATGATAAATTAATTAGGCTTAATAAATTCGGATTCTGTAATTTATTTTTTTATTAATATCAAACACTCGTTGCTTATAATATCTGATGTGATGTCTCGAAATTTTATCTAGGCCTTGTTTAGATTGCAAATTTTTACAATCTGGACACTGTAACACGTTT